TGCACCCAGTGCCTGGGCCTGCCATCCGCCTCCCTCTCACAGCCCCTCCCACCCTCTCAATAATTAATTTTCATGCTGGAATGGCCCCTCTTGTAAGTCAGTGCTCAGGGTCAACTTACTTGAGAGCCTGAGGACAATCCCACCACTGTGGGCACTTGGCTGTGCAAACTTAGAAAAAAATTGTAGCACTTGGAAACAATGGCCTCACACAAAAGCACAGCAAGAAGCCCCAGGAGGGACCTGTCCTTCCTTTGCACAGGAGATTCTTTGAAATGGAGTCACTGGCCTTGGTACCTTTTTGACCTCCACTGGATATGGTTTGCAGCTCTGCCTGCACCTGCCCATGTTCACCTTTGCTGCTGAGGCTGGCCATGGGCTGGGGCTCAAGTAGCCTGCCATAACTCCCAGCTGCTTGAGCAGGACCATGGAGCTGCCTGTCCACCACAGCAGTGGGATTGAAGCTTGTGCAGCCTTCCCACTTGATCCCAAGAAGCCCTTTTGGCCTCAACCGCCTCATTCTGACCTTACTAGTGCCTCCTCGGTATGAACTTCCCTGCTTAAGAGTCAGAGGTGCTGCAGGGTGTGGTCCAGAGCCAAAAGGGCACTCCTTCGAGCCGGAGTTGAACCAGCGACCTAAGGATGGCTGTGCAAGGGAGCCTACAGTCCTCCGCTCTACCAGCTGAGCTATCGAAGGAATGGTGTTGTTGCAGGTGATATCCTTCAATACTCCATAGCACAGCCATATCTCACCATATACAACACACTTTCCTGCCTCCACAATGTTTCTCCCTCCATCCAGTTATACCCTCATCAGACTCACTCACAGTCTAGCCTGATCTCATCTTTCCTAAGCCTCCCACTGATAGAGGTGCTGAATGTCTTTCTCCAACTTAATTTCCATGAGTGCCCTATCATCTTGTGGAATGACATTTTCTCTGCTTGTTGTCGCTTTTCTCTCCCAAAGATGTCAGGTTGCTTGCTGCTGTGAAGGGCTGCAGTGGCCAGTGGTTCCAAGGTGGTGAAGGAAATGAGAAAAACCTAAATGGAAATAAATCCATAGGTTTTGTATGGGAAGTAGGCAACAAACTCCTGTGTTCATTTCACTCTCAGTTTTTTGCCTTCTTCCTTTTTCTCTACTCGTAAGGAACCACAGTTATAACAGAACTAGGAATGTCACATTTCCATGGACCCACAGGGAAGCTTCTGTATAGCTGATACTTATGTCATGTAGTTCCTGTCCTTACTTTTATTGTTTCTTGGGTTGGAACTAACGTAGCCCTTTTTCTCACTCATATGAATTGCACTACCAGTATATAGATCTTTTTCCCATTACTAGATCATCTCCAATTCATATATGTCATCTTCATGTGCAGGAAATTTTTTTGTTAATGTACTATTTTTATCCCAAAATCAAAATTAGAACATATCTCCTACTTTCTTAACTATACAATGTTGAAAGTAGTTCTGTTACGATTCTAAAACAGTACTAAGTACAGTGAGTGTGCAACTAATGTTTTCCACCTTTTTGAAACTACATTTTGTTCAAATTCTTATTTTTTATGAGTTTTTTGGGGATATGGAGAGGGAGGAAAAATGTTTTGGGTTTGTGGAAAAAGGAAGAAAGGCTGGAGATTGATTGTCCGATGCCCGCAACCACACATGAGTTTTGCAAGTAATACCTCCCCCATTTTTTTTCGAATTCTAATTGCTGGAGTTTGTTTTCAGCCAAGAAAAGGGATGGATTGCATAAGCTACTTAAATACTTGGATGCCACATGATGTCATTAGTCATGCAAGACTTAGCTTGTTTTTCCAGTTCTCCTATTTCATCTTTTATTATGTTTAAGGTACAACATGTTAAATATGACTGAAAAATTATGTTTAAGGTACCACAGACACAGTATACTGAATACAACTGAAAGCGAACCCTTTCTTGCTATTAGAGACATGTTTAAGGAGTTATTTATTATCTATGAGAAGATTAATTTGGTTCAGTGTACAGAACTGAGGAGACCATTGGCAGAGGCTGTTTCCAGGCTTATATCAGTCTTGATATTGGCAGAATGTTTCCAAGGCAGGAACTGTCATCAGGAGCAAAGGTTACATTTTACTGTGGGAATAACCTCTACTGAGACTTCAGTGGAAAGTCAAGCAAGCCCTTACTCTGAGGATAAGTTTGTTAGAATAAGTGTGGGCACACTGCCTTCGCACCACAAATGGTATTTTTTGGCATAAGTCATGGCTAGCTCCTGAAACACTCGGAGAGAGTAGTTAAAAAATGCAACATAACTTGACTGAGGTGATCACGGAATTTAAAACACTACTAAACCACTTTTGATGCCACTAGAGGTCAGCACTAGTCATTAAATACGTCTGGAAAAATTGCCAGTTCTTCAACGGGAGTGGAGATTTTCTACAAGATACACTGCTGTCTGTGCCCGTTTTGCAGGTGTGTGTGAACTCACATTGCCGGTGCTCTAAAATGGTTAGAAGCAAACTCTTTCTTCTCCAAGCTGTGCTTCCCCAGCACTTTCCATGAGCCAACAGTCCCACACTGTTCCTTTCAAGCCGTACCTGTTCTCAGATGCCATAGCGCTGCATAGAGTCAGGGGGAAAAGACAGTACTGAGCCCTGTCCCAGAAAAGGCTTCCCACCAGCATAAACAGCCCAAAGCAGTCGACAATCATCTTCCAGTGCTTTAAAGACTGTGTTACAAGTGTGACAGTGGGAATTAGGCTCAAAGACAGGCACTGGAAACTGAGGCTGACTCACTACCTTTTCTACCCTGTGCTTCAGAAAAACGGTTCCTTTCTGTTGCAACTCCTAACTGTGTTTTCCATCATCACTGTCTGGGCTTCTGCAAACACAGTTTACAAAATTTTAATACAGCTACTATTGATAGGCAATTGAATATGGATTTTCCTTTGCTATAAAGACAATGTTGATGAGATAAGCAATGTGATCATCATGTTTTAAAACAACCTTTAAAAAAAATCTTCCTCTTTGTTGAAACCTGCTAAATGATGCAAATCAGTTGGCAATCATAATGCAATAAACGTGTGTGATTTATTATCATGCTGCAATCTGTGCTTTCAGCATACATCACTGTCTCCTTTAACATGGGAGCTGACTAGGTATCAACACACAAAAGTTCATGCTCAATGTAACAGAAACACCTTTTTTACCAAAACTTTCACATTCAGTTACTTTGTGTCACTTTGCTTCCATTGTGTACATCAGAGCTGGAAAACAGAAGGCTGGACACACTGTTCAGAATGATAATATCTCTACTAAAATATTTTGTAAGGTTTTGTAAGTGTCTATATACTTGCACACATACGGATGATTTATTTTCCTTCTGGTTTTGTTTTTTTTTTCCCATGTTTAAGAAAACTGGCTCTGAAATATCATCCCGATAAGAATCCGGATAATCCTGAGGCTGCAGAAAAATTTAAAGACATCAATAATGCTCATGCAACACTGACTGATCTGTCCAAGCGAAACATATACGACAAGTATGGATCATTAGGGCTCTACGTAGCAGAACAGTTTGGTGAGGAAAATGTTAACACCTACTTCATGCTGTCAAGCTGGTGGGCAAAGGTAAGCTGCTATTTTCTGTTGGAAATCAAGTGTTACAATGCACACAGACAATTATATACGCAAGGAACCCCCTGAAAAACCTGGTCTCTCTACAGGCTTAACAAATAATAGGATCTGAATCTAAACCACTCCTAAAAGCTTAATTAAACAATATTATCTGGAAAATCAACAGTGGCAGAATGTAACATAAGCTCAGAATAGTGCTAATATAGAATGCGTTCTTTTTCTTTTTAACTTCGTAAATAGTTAAGTAGATTGCACGTTTGGTAACACTTCCAGACATTAATTAGATTTGAATCTAGTGCTCCAGGTTAATTTTGACTTTCTTTTCAGTAATGACTAAATAAAAATGACTCATTGTTCAAAAATGAGAAGTCCCACTTATGTGACAACCAGTTAATAAGTTATTACAGTACAAATTTAGCTGTGTTCTTTACTATATATAGCACACAGCATAAGTAAGCAAGAGTAATACATAACACTCAGTGATTATGGTGTCAAATATGCACCCTGGTAAGGGGGTGAGAGAAAGGAAGTGGAAGAAAAAGAGAGAAGGGTGGAGTGGAGGAAGAGAGTAGGAAAGGAAGAGAATGATACATCAAAAACTGGCATTTTGCTCAAGGAAAAACACATCATGGGCTGTTCTAGTCATAAAGGAGTTGTGTTCATGTGTTCTCTTATGTCACTGGTGTCCTCTGATGTTTGTGTATGCCAGATTTGAATGTTTCGGCAAATACTGACATGTTACAGAAATGTAACAAACCAACAGAATCACAAATGTGCAAAATCCATGCTGTCCCAATCGATTTCCAGCAATAGAAGCACAGGAAAGCAAAGACTCTGCTGGAATACATAAGATAATGATCTGTACTATGTGAGGCAATCGCACTATGACACCTTTGATCTGAGAACATGGATTCCTGTGTTCAGCACGGATCAGGCCAGTGCTTCACTGCCCCGCAGTCCCCTTTCAAACTGGGAAGTCACTTGGGCAGTTTATGGGTCTGAGAAGCCAGAATTTGTCTGCTGAATCAGGATGAGTCAGGATGAAACTAATGAATGTGCAAAGGCGCAGTTGCACCCACAGACGAAGGCCGGAGACTGCCTGCTGGCAGCTACTGTAGCTGACTCTGGCTGCAAGCTGGACTCACCAACACATCCACTGTCTTCTCCTGCTGGATCATTCCCTCTTCTCTTTGCTGTCCACTCCCTCCTTCAGCCTCTTTGTCATGGTTCAGATGCCAGGAAGCGTTGCTTTAGAGCTGTGAGAGCAGCAGTATTGAGTCCCTTAACAGTCTTACTAAACAAGATTTTCTTCACTGTTTGCTGCTTTTTTAGCTTTTATTTCCTCGTCTGCTTACCGATCTTTAATGGAGGTTTTATGAGGTATAAAATCCTTTGTGATTAGAAAATCAGGAACAGAAATAACCGCTGTGGCTTTGACTCATAAGGAGAGCACTGGAGAGTACAGAGAGAAGCTAGTAAGCCTGTAACAGCTGAAGGAGTAATGTGTGGCTTGTCTCAAGGAAGCTGTATCCCAGAGGTGAGATGAGATATGCGGAACACCCCAGCAAAAATAATAATTGCTTTGTGGTTTTTGAGAATTGTCACAGGTGGTCTCTCTATCCCTCACCCAACCCGAAACCTTGCAACCTCCAAAGCATAAATAGGCCACAAAATGTTTTTTGCACACTCAGCTCACTGTTCCTCATCTCTTTTTAACTCATGCACATTTTTATATTGGCCATCATAATAATATTTCAGTCAGAGGCATCATCTACAGATGATCTCTGGACCCCTAATTTCCTCCATTCTGATAGAAGACGGTAGGGACCACAGCTTTCGCTCGTGATCTTCCTCTTCAACTACGAGCATTCCTGGTAAATCATCTTCCCTATCACACTCAGAAAATCTGACAATTGTGAGGAAGTGTATCATTAGAAGTAAGGAAACTCAAATTAAAGGAGAAATGCAAAGTGAAAATCACTTTTTTTTTGGAGTGCCAGACTTCTTAGCAGGAATATTAAACTGGGAACTTACTGACATGGGTAGTGGGAACTTCAACTGCTTCTCCACTGGCAGGCATAGGCATTGTTCATTTACTGTTTTAGCAAAAAGCAATTCTTTCTTCTACCATGAAGATAATTTATTGGTCACATCAATAAACTGATTCTTGATTTACCAACTGTGATAATATAAGCACAAGAAATCTTGAAACATTTAAGGTATCATGAATAAATTCAAGAATTTTTTCCCTCTATATATTTTATTCTCCCTTTTTTCATTCTCTCCATTGGGGTGATTTATTCTCCATTATGGCATAAATGAGAAACAGTCACATAACTTATTTTAGGGGTTATGGCATTTAGAATAGTTTTGGGTGTTCATTTTGGGTGTCACTTGGAAGGAAAACATTTTAAAACAAAAAGGCAAACTCCTTCTTTTCATTTAAAACCACCTTATTCACACTTCATACATACTTACCTTAATATTAGGCATGTAAATGGTCTTATTACCTTCAGAGATGCTCCAGTTGGCCCCCACTAACATTCCCTGAGACATGCATACATAACTGATTGTTATTTACATAGTTTCATTGTCGAAGTTTGACGATAACCTAACATTTGTGCATGCTTTCTTCCTCAGAGGCATGGTTTCTTATGGATATAACAAATAGTTAGTAAAGGGCAGACTGTATAATTATAATTCTAAAGCCTGGCTCTGCCTTCAGGTTAACTTATATATAGCTGGTGGCCACAAAGCTTGTGCTGGCTTTACATTCACGTTCCACCTATCAGCCTTGATTCACCTTCCAGGACCATCACTGGTTTTCCTTTACTCTTACACCACTCTGTCCATGAAGAGATGTGGAGGTTTCTCCTTTGCCACTAACATCTTGGTGCAGGCCTGGATCCACCTCGGGTTGGGAACCAGGCTGCCATCATGCACCCATGGAGAGCAGGGCGGCAATGCCAGCCTAAGGGCTCCCCTTCTGCAGTCCCCCCTCCCACTGCCGCAACATGGCACGCGGCCCCCAAAGCAAGCAGCTGTGGAGCTGTGCTGTGAACCCAGGCAGTGGGTCACCTGATCTGGAGGAAGAAAAGCTCTGTAAATTAAAGTTTTCTGGCCATTGAATCTGTCTAAGATCTCTGGTCTCAGCCCCAGGCAGTTGTGCTGGCTCTGCTGAAGCCTCCGCACTTTGTGCCACAGGGACAGGAGTGAGCAGAGGGCGGCGCAGGTGGGAACTTCTTTCTGCCTCAGTCCCCAGACCAGCAAACCACAGCCCAAGAAGGCTAATTCAGGAGTTGTCACCTGCGTGCTCCTGCACAGGCTAATGGGGAGAGAGAGACACACCCTGAATGGGCAATTCAAATCCTCCTGGGGCTGAATCACCCTCTGGAAGGGCTTTTAACTTTCCATTGACTATGTGGGGAGCTCACGGGGGCTACAGTCCTGATTTGGATGCCTTAGTTCATTGCCAAAAGTTATGTGGGATGCATCTGGGTCTTTGCTTCTTTTCCTCTCAGCTTTGTTATTGACAAGAACCTCCAGTAAATAAGTGTTTGCAAAACCGATCTTGGGCAAATGAGTCATTTTTAAAATGGAAATGAGTCATTTTAAAGTGGGTGGGGTTTTGCATACCGCCTGGAAGTTTTTTCTGAGGGCCATCAGCTGAAGACAGACTTTCAAAAGTTGAGCATGCGGGAGCCTGTTTGTTGGTGTCTTCTCTGTAGACGTGGTCCTGAGTGGCAAGTAGGAGCTGCTAGGTGAGGAGGACTTTGGAAGATCTGGCCCTTGTTGAGGCACTTGGCCAGCGGCTGATCTCCTCTGAGTGCCAAGCACTTGGGAACCTGAGTTCCTTTGACCATCTGCCTTCAGCTATAAGAGGCTGCCAGGAGTTTCAGGAAGGTCGTTGCTCATGGGGTGTCCCTCCCGCTGTGTTTGACCCAGGGCCTGTTTGCAGTCTGTGGCTTGCTGACGGGCTGCTACCTCTGCTGCTGCCTCTGCTGCTGCTTCAACTGCTGCTGCGGGAAGTGTAAACCCAAAGCACCCGAAGGGGAAGAGCACGAGTTTTTTGTGTCTCCAGAAGATTTGGAAGAGCAAATTAAGAACGACATGGAAAGAGGTGTGTATTATAGGGGCTTACTGTGTGGCCAAGCTGTTCAAAACAATCTTTAAAGCCTGTAGGCCAGATGTTCTGCTCACAATGCTGAGGCTGCTTCCAGACATCAGTGGAGACATGCCAATTCACTCCAGCTAACACCATGACCTGATGAACTTCCCAAGTTGTGTGTTACTGAAAAACTAAACTTGTGGCACTAACAAATAAATATCTCCTGTATCACTTATGTGACACATAAACATTAGAAGTCTCAGGGCTCATCTTAAGAGATGTTCCCCTTCTAGCCTCCATGCCCATGTTGCTTCATATTCTCGATCCTGAACTGACAGATTAGGCTCTGCCTGGAATGGTGCTTGCCACATCTGATCTGCCTGAATAAGCAGTTTGGTTTTTATTCATGTCAAATTTATCGCTATGATGGGCCAACTGTACCCATTCCAGAAAAGTCTTCAAGAAAAGATGCAGAGCTTCCAACGGTAAGGTTGCATAGTAACCTGAGAGAGTTTGCGCGGGAGCTGCAGCCATCCTGCCTCTCTCCCATCCGGCCCTCGAGCTGCTCACTGTCTTCTGCACTGGCAGTAGCAATTTTGCTGCCTTACCAGGGGCCAGATCTTGGATACGATCCAGGTGAAAACTAATCCTCCTGCTGCCCATTTAACTCCCTGCCGTGCCTCACAGTGGGGCAGGCCAAGTGCTAATGCCAGCTCCAAGAATCCAGCTGGAAACACAGGCTGGGGGCAGCAGGACCTCCTTTGCAGCAGGTGACCCTCTTTTCTCAGCTTTGCTGCATCCCCCAGCTGCACACTCAGGTTTTGGCTATAACAAAGGATGATGGTGGTGATTTCCTAATCTGATGCTAAAGCAAGTCACATATTTTGAACAAAGAGCCCTGTCCTAATCAGCTGAAACGGGGCAGAGTTGTGCCTTCATCTTCAGGGGAAACAGAAACATCTCAGACTGGTTAGATTTGGACACTTGCAGGACAGGCTGAGAGAGGCCACGATCCTTGCTTCAGCAATAAGAGGCCAAGGTATCAGAGTAAGACCTAGGCCACTTTTCAGCTGCAAATTTATACAATCTATGATGAGGATTATGCTTTTTTATGAGGAAGTACCTAAGCAGTCAGCTCGCTCTTTTTCTCTTCCATTGTTATGGAAGGTCTTACGCTGTTATATTCTTACATTTATTATGCTTAAATTAGCACTGCCAGATTGCAAATGTCATGTTCCCTTAGCAGGAAGAATTTTCTTCCCTCCCAACTTTTCACACAAATTTACCCTTCCATAAATATGTAACAAAACACTTGTAGTAGTTGAAACAAATGCTATTTATATAACTGATATGCCAATGTGTGGTGGTGGTTTTAAATTGGTTTTGCTTAGAGGCACATCAAGGTAAATACAGTCAGCTTAAAAATTGATCATGCTCGATCAGTCTCTGCAAAGGCAACAAAAACTATTAGTGAAAACTTTATAACCAAAATGCATTATTTGAAATAAATGTAATATACTCTGCGACATTAGGCATCTGAAAAGTGTAAATTTAAAATGGGTCTTGGTATTTATGGGTCTATGACATCAAAGCAAAGTTTGTGATACGAAGATAGAACTTTCGAAGGCAAATAATTTTTTAATTCTGCCTTTTTTGTAATTTGGCAGGTATTTTGCTCTCTCTCAAAATTCAGCATGAAATTCCCCAGTAGCAGGAAAAAAATTGCTCCCTCCTTCCAGCACAAGTGGTGTTTATTGGTGTTCAGTAATTTTTAGGCCACCTTCCCATCACTTTACACCAACCAAGTCTCACTGAGATATCGATTTTTAAAAATAATTTCAAATGTTTAGCAAAGTACCAGTCTGAAAAATTAACAGAATGTGGAATTATGTGTTTTAATTATTTTGAAGACAATAATAAATATAAGGGTAGAGCCTGGAGAAAACTAGGTATTTCTACCTTTCCTACTCTTGTCTTCAATCTTGCTACATTTTCCTACCAATCAAAATCACCTTGCTTCTGTAGAGTAGAATCCTCTGTATTTTAAGAGCAACATATCAGGAATAAAAGTGAAAACTTCAAGACAGGATAATGTGGGCATCTTTTCTGCATCTGAAAGGAAAGTAGACACTGCATTTAGAAAAATGAATGATAACCAGCTCAAACTGCACTTCACACACGCGCGTGCACACACACACACACCAATTTTAGAGATGATAGCCAAAAAGATGCAGTTGACTTAGAATGGCAAAGATTGGGCTTTTCCACCAGACATTTTCAAATGCTGGGCCATAGAAATAAATACTCTTGGTTTTCTTTATGTAAATAATAGAAATGCTCCTGTAGGTAATGCGGAAAAAAACCTGTAATCACTCCTGCAGCAGATTTCAATTTGGAAGAGGAAATCCTATTAGGATCCAAATTCTTTGCATGCCTTCTGCCCACAGACTGAGTATTCTAGCTGGTAATTAATTTCTTTGCTTCCTGCTGTCCCCGCTAACTATATTATTGCTAGCCAGAAGATTTTTGCTAAGGTCAAAATGTAGATTCTCAAGTTAAGGCCACACTTTAATTTATCCAAATATTTTCTAGTCAGGCATTGCTTTTGTGAGGAATGTGACATCGATAAAGCATCACCATTCCTGATGCTAGAAATCTCTAAGAGCGAGTCACCACCGGTCGTTGCTGTGCACAGTGGGAGCTGCCTGGAGCTGGTTGTACTGCACAGAAGAGGCAATATGTGTGTTGTGGGAGTCGAGATTTAAACTTCTCCTTTTGCATTGGCACAACAGTAATACTTTTCGGAGTCACTCAGATTTCTCCTGAACAAAATCAAGGTCTTACAGAGTTTATTTCATTCCTCAAATTAACATACCATAAACCAAATTTATTAGGGAAAAAGATATGTGAGGCCAAAAATTCAGTGATCCATTCTCTAAAATGTAAAAGTGAAGTGAGTTGTCCCTGAAATCAACACAAACATGTCAAAGGCTTCAATTCTCATGAAATGGCATATTCCTCTAGAAGAAAGTTTTATTCAAATGTATTTGACTAGTTCCAGTGCTCAGCCTAGTTTTGTACCTGCTATAAGAGATTCGTTTTACAGCATATACTTCCATGGGTAGCATTAGCATCAGAACTAAAGGAAAGTAGGGATGTGCAAGACCTGACCTGTACTTAGGTTACGGTGATTTCTTCTCATGACTATTGATTTGTACCACAGGCTACATATGCCCTAATGCACAATTAAAGATCAAAAAATAAATCTTATATTTGGATTTTTACATTTTAAACATAACATTTTTTGGCATTTCAGATCAAACATGACATTAAATAAGTGTAAAGTAGGGCAATCTATGGTATCATGCCATGATGTTATGGGTGACCTGCAAAAAGACACTGACAGAGGGAAGCATCACTCGCTCCTCTGCAGCACGGACGCATGCAACAGTTCATGGCTTTCACTTGCACATGGGGCAGGTTGCCAGATTTTGCTTCCATTGAAGTCAATGGCAAACCTTTTGTTGACTTTTGCGGTCCCAGAGGAGGTGCCATTGGAATTTGGACTGCCTTGGTACTTCAGGCTGTAATGATGCACTCAAAGCAGTTTTGCAGGTTTGTTCTCCTCTCCTGTTTGCTTTTCATTGTGAGAACAAAGTGAGACATTTCTAGACCGACTTTCATCTGACAGAACATGAAATCTGAGAGAGAAGAAAGAAAAATAAAAAGAAAAAAAAGAACCTGGATAACAAAATACTTTCCCAACTCAGAAGCAGTAAGTTTTGAGCACTTCATTGTCTCCTCCGCACTCCATATGATACCGATGTAGGCGAACAGTGAGCAAGAGCTATCTATAGAAAACAGTTTAAACTGTGAATTCTGCTGCACCTCCATTCTGCAGCTCTCCATTAGCAGGCTATATTTGTACACTTTATTACACCATGAGTCCCTGTTCTGATAAAAAACGTCATAAATTTTAGAAAGGCACGGGCAGCAAAATACTCGGGGCAGGTGTGAGCTCAGAATTGTCTGCAGATCAGCTGGAAGTAATGCTACCCGTTTGCAGTGGGTCCTGTTCTCTTGTTGCACATCTGGGTATCACAGCAAAATTAACTGCTGGTGTCTGCCCTCCATCAATGATCTTCCATAAAATGAACAACTTGGAGGCAGCAGAGGGTGGGAGGGAGAGCTGCTCAGAAATCTAGAAAATACATCACAACTTAAAAATGGATTGGAACTGCCAAACTAATCTGCGCCCGAGCTGAGCTCTAGGCATTAACTACTCATATAGTTTTAGAAGTTATGAAACATGTCTGTCTTTGACCTTGTGTCTAAATACGGAATTGCCCATACAGAGAAGCTGCCTGGCATTTAATCATTCTTGCCTTTCACCTTGACAGAGTCAAAGTTGTTCTACCCCCACTGAGGGGAAGCCGTATGGCATGCAATTAGATTCTTGCTCTGGGTTAAGTTACTCCTGTACATTACATCTTTTGCCCATGATTCATCCCATCAACTGTCATGTAAACAGGAGGACATGTCAGATGAATTTTTTTTTGAACATTCAATCGTTTGGCAAAAAAAGTCATCATTTGTATTCCATTACTGTGAAGGCTGTGCTAGGATCAAGATATAGATAGTCCAAAGGTTTTCATATGAAAGCACTTCACTGAGATGGCTGAACCTTTAAAAGTCAGTCTCTGAGTCTTGAGTCCCCTCCTCTCCCCCGAAAAAAACAGTGGGTTGGAAAGAGGCCCAGGAGAAGGGCAGCCAAATCTTGTTCATTATCAGAGGGAACACAACAGCCATCAGGGAACTTTGTAAGGACTTCACTTTCCTCCACTCTACAACAAACATGTTTTTTACAGATATATTGGGAAACCAAAGACATAGCTGCGTGGAACGAGAAGGTACAAAGCAGTAAGGATTTATATAGTGATAAAACGAAGTTTTGGCAGTTCCAAACACATTAAAACAGTAGTTCTCAAAATCCTATTGTAAATATATTACATAAGACTTCAAAATGCAATTTAACATTTTTATTTAACTAGCTAGCTTTCAGGATATATATGATTTCTTCCCTCAAGTATATTACTGCTCAGGCATTTTTTTGTCCTTTTGACTCTCTTCTTTCTTTACTGTTAACTTTGCCTTCTTCGAGACTCATTTCTGGCCCATTCTCACAAACATTGCCAAGGTTAGTGCTTGCTGACTCACAACAGCACTCATTATATTCAGACATTAGCAGGAACAAGCACTTGCAATCGGAACAGGCAGGGACCCTTATCTCCCAATCTCTGCAAAGCACCAGCTACAGCTAATGTCCAGTTTGATAACAACAGCAATAGTCACCCCGAAATCTGCCATTACACGTGGACAAGGAGTAAGAGCATTTAGCATTTGGAGGCTGGTGTGGGCATTGCCGCCTCTTCAGTATGCACAGAGCTGCCTGCGAAGCCAAGGTCAAGCCACAGCCACAGCAGCACATGAAATGCTGTGATGCTAACAAGAAGTCTGACTTTGGTAGCAACCGAAGGATTCTCAAAGTATTTTTTGTCTTCTCCCCCAATTTAGATGGAGAAACTCCTATCGTGCTTCAGCCGACTAATGCAACTGAGAAGACACAGCTAATAGGGGACAGCCATCGGAGCTATCGCACAGACTCCTAGAGCAGGAAACATGGCCTGTTGGTGCTTCCCACTGACTGTCACAGGAGAAGAAACAAGTAATAAGCTCTGCAGCCTGTATTTGTAATTGTCTTTAAGCTAATCAAGAGTAACCTGAGAGTAGTTTCCTATCAATGCAGAATCTCCCTCTAGGCCACTTCCAGTAAGTTGATATCTACACTCTGCAAGGAGATACTTATGGCCAGTATAGAGCCCTACAGACCAGCATGCTGGTCTCTCACAGCTTCAAACTGCCAGGCTCAACATGAGCTTTCCCTCTAATAATACTCCCTTTGGTATAGTTGCTCTCCTCCCTGCCCTCAGCTGAGGTTTCATCGCCCAGACACAGTCCCAAGTCCCTTTCTGGATACACCGGCTCCATCTCTTCCTGTCCTGGGAACGCTCCTCACGTGCAGCAGTTTTACTGGATGTGAAACGTTCCTGTGGGGGAGCCATGGAAATGCTCTTCAGCAGATGTCAGAGGGAAAGCCAGTGACATGGCAGATGAGGCTGTCCCTCCCAGAGAGGAAATGCTCTTTGGAAAGCAGCTATCTGTTCGCTGGGGATGGGCCCCAGCAATTATTAACCTGAGCCAGGACGAGGTGCTCAGGGATCATTTTGCTACTGGTTACAACTCAAGTCACTCCAAATCCAGGAACGTCATCCAGCACCAGAAGCACATGTGAACTCTATGTCCTGGTCTGCACAAGCTGCGAACCTGGAAGATGGTGGGAGAACACCCCGTGGAGGGAGAGGCTGGTCCTGGGCTGCTCCAGAGCCTCTCTCCTCCACCCATAGCCAGTGATGGCTCTGTGGCAAAGCTCCCCTGGTCCTGCCCGAACAGGCCTGCTGCCCATGCCGGCCAGCCCCAGCTTCTCTGGCTGCAGCTGCGACGTGCTGGAAATTGGTCCCCAGCCAACAGCTTTCTGCTGGCTTGCTTATTCGACTGAGTCCTGGCTGCCAGCCCCACTGCCCCGCTGGCACTGGGCTGGGAGCCATCGCATCAGCGCTGGCACCGGGGCTGTGGGAGCAGCAAGGACTTGGCAGGGCAGGGAAGCAGCACAGGAGTGACCGTCCTCCTCATAGCCTGGCTCATCAGGGTGACCCTGGGTCCTCCCCTCTGCCCCATGGTGTGATTTTAAACAAAGAGGTAGGGTTGAGATATATATTCAGGTGCACCACTGCACAAATCAGCGGAGATACGTGTGATGTGGCTAAAGCAAGCATGAAGAAATTAGGCCTCTAATTTGTAAGAGCTAAAGAAATACCTCTGAGATCTTAAACTTAGCGCTTCACTGGTTTGACATAGTAGTTTAAGCCTTGGACAGCTGAATTTCTCTTTATCGATCACGATACATCCATCATTATTAGTTCTGTGCATTTGCTATTTTTGCTCCTCTAATCACAGTGCTGTGGTCTAAAGGGGGACGTAATGTACCCCTATATTATATAGACCAGTGAATATATAGCTAGTCAAAAGTGTTCTTCCCTTCCTTAGAATTGGATTCTGCGGTTGTGAAATGTTATTGTCTTCCTTCTATTCTCACCTTCCACATCAAATGTCATTCAGTGACAGCTAAATATATGGGAAAAGAGTGTGTTTCCTTGCACTAGCTGTAAGTCCAAAGTCAAGAAATAGTACCTTTAACATTTCTTTAAAGTTCCCATGACACATGGACATTTTTAAAGCCATTAATTCCAGATCAGGTTATATATCTGTTCTCCAGGCGCAGGCACTGGGGCCAGCTAACGCTCACATTACCCTCAGAAATACCCCTATTTTTCTGCTTCAGAGAAGAGGGGACGTCCTGGCATGGCTGAGGCTGTACACAGGCACTCGCTCCCCTCTTACCCATGGGCTCCTCTTTGTTCTCAGTTGCAGGTTGCAAATAATTTTGGAGGCCACTCATATGTACATAAATCCAGACTGCCACCCTGCCTGCCCAGCCGTGCTGGGGGGATATGGTCCCAAGGGAGGGGGAGTTGGTGATACCATCCTGCCGCTGCGTAGATGTGGCCACAGAAGGCACGTTCCCGGTGGTAGCCAAGTGCTGTAAATCTTCCTGCCGGGTGGCCGGATCAGACGGCAGGTTGTGTGTTGGTGTGCTAGTGCTGTGAGACGTGCAGAGCGCAGCCCACTGGGAACATGCCGGGGGACACCAGCGCCCACTCGCCCCAGTGCACACACACATCCTTTGGCTTTCTTTGCTATTGCCCTTCACATGGTGTTTTCTCTGGCGTTAACACCAAACGAAGGAGTAGGGAGATCACGCAGTACGCAATAAATCTGCAGACGAAGTGATTTCCTAAGTTTCACCATCTGGGAGACGAATTCACTGAGAGAGTGTTCAAACGCTAAGTAGTGACTATTTCCAGCAGAGATGGAAAAAGCATTCAGAGACAAGCCCAAATACTTCCAAATTTACTACTGAATAATGTATAGTAAAGCTACACATTATAGGTGGAATTCTTTCCCATGTGAAATCCATCCTCCTGCTCCCATGGAAGTCCCTGAGAATTGCACCCTTGATTTCAACAACAGCTACAGATCAGGGCTAATGCCAGGGAGGGAAAGGTAAATCCCAGATTAGCAAAAGCAATTGAGGAATTTTTTCACATGTAACAGCTTGGATGCCTGTCCAGACCCCACTCTATGGGCCAGATCCAAAGTTTACTGAAATCAGGGACCATGGGCTTGAGGTGTACCACAACATCAGGTGATTCTTATTCACTCTTTCTAAATGAGAGATTTTTCTTGGGAAAGATTCGTGACTCGATCTTGCAGTGTGATGCAAAGACGGACAAGCTGCTGCGTGTTTGCAAAGTCCTTTTACAGACATGGGGATCTGTATAGAAAAGCCACAACGTATTATCTCAGTTAGTCAAAAACCTCTGAGCGGGTTCTCCAGGACTTGTAGCTTAAATATCTGAGTGTCTGAACCCATGGTTTAATTCAAAAGAGGAAACTTAGTTTTCAGAGTACCAGGGCATTTGCCTCTCTCACTGCTCTCAGCATCAGCTGTTCTGAGGACGTGTGGAGAAAGGATGAACAAGGATTTCAGGACTTAGCTCCTCAGCGTGATTTTACTCATGTTCGCTTTTCAGAAAAGTTCCTAACGTGAACATAGCTATGCTTACGTGATCTGTTTCCGTGTAAAGTTCAGTTGAACACCCATTAATCTTCTCAAAATGTACAGATCCTCAAAATTCTGTTCTGTTTTGTTGCATTTATTTATATGTAAAGTACGATACTTTCAAATCTACCTTTACTGTCAACCACTCTGACTAATAAATGTCCTATGTATGAATTGGAGAACTCCCTTTACTTTTCCATGCTATTAACAATGTTGTTCCAGTAACAGCTAGAGAAGCTGCAGAAATAGCTGTCCAGAATTACAGCTTTGCACTCTGACAAGTGGCAAGTGGCAACTCAGGGTTTCCCCAAAGAGGAACTTAATCTTGGATTGCAGCAGATGCACCTACCCATGCAAAACAGCCAGAGCTATAACTGCACATTGCAAATCCTTTAAATAAGGCAGAATGCTTTATGTCTGCATAAAAAAAAAATCAGCAGTGCAAAGAAGTGATATAACATGGTAGTTTTACTGGCATCAGTTTCTATATGGAACGATTTTCCCCAGCAAAGGGTGCGGGCAGTGAGTGAAACCGTGATGCTGCTGAGGACAGTGGCAGACGTGCTGTCAAATTCCCCGGGGCCGGCGTCTCACTCAGGGGTTTCGTGTCTGTCCAAGAGCCAGCACAGGGTGCTGGATAGCCTGGGCCTGCTACGGGACAGGAATATTTCTCACTCGGATGGTATCTAGGTCTCTGTGACCACAGCAGCCCAAGCATTTGAAAAACGGACAAGAGGCAACTGTTCTGGCTGGGTGTATTCTCAAAGAGCTGTCCTTTTGCGTGCTTCCATACTAACTCATACACAGATTCACTCAAAATATCGAATGGAAGAAACATCATAGAAGGTTTAGGCCTACCATCAACATAACCAGTTACTTAGGTAGTTTGTGCACTTTTCTCCCTACAACAAGTTCATAGCACAAACTGCTGTGCTTAAACCAAAACGCATCAAATGTAGTTGTATGTCATTTGATTTCATTGCTTGCCTTCCCTCAGAATTAGCACTCAAAGTATGGACATGATTTCCATCAAAAGGAATCACATTTCTGCCTCTCTTTGGAATAAAATCATTAAAGAAAAACTATGAAGTGTGTAAAACTGAACACAGTTACAATTACTGATATTCTTCTGTGCTGTCTTTTTCTACAGAAAACAAAACATTCATTGTGCTGTTACAAAGCAGGGAGATCGCAGGTAAAAGTAATCCTCTTCCTCTCTCCACAAACTAAAGTCCAAATCATCACATCCAGCATCTCCTGTCACTTTGAGAGGGATGGATGGGTACAGAGTTTCAAATGAGAGGACTCAGTCCTTCGTGCCAGCGTCACCCGTCCCAGGGTAGGAAAGGCGACAGTATGGGATGGCTGGGCGGTAGCCGACACCTGCAAGATAGTCTCAGAAAGACGCTGGTACAGACACGCAATTTCCCACTAGCAGAGAGAGTTAATATGTGCCAAGAATTGCCTGGCTGGATTTGAAAACATATTCCTCTTGTGGCAGTATGTAAATCATGGAGTCATGGAATCATAGAATCCTTTGGGTTGTAAGGGACCTGAAAGATCATCTAGTTCCAAGCCCCCTGCCATAGGCAGGGACCCCTTCCGCCACATCAGTTTGCTCAAAGCCTAGTCCAGCCTGGCCTTGAACACCTCCAGGGATGTGTAGATACTTCCTTATTCTGGAAAAATATTGTCTAGACCTTAGACCTTGGGGGAGAGGAGGTTTGGAAAAAAGCCCCTCAGAATTTCGACATTCTCATTATCTGTGACAAGATAAAGGGATCTCAACAGGTATCCTCCTGCACTAACTTGCTTTATGAGGGTTTGTGGTAAACTGGAGTAGGAACAACAAACATCTTGTTTTCCTTT